GTCTTCATGACTATCCATCATAGTAAAGGACGCACGTCAGCAGTTGAACCTTGCGACTAGAGACACAACTGCTCTCAGCTGGCACCATATGATGATTATAGCCTCCGTTCTTGCATTACTCATCGCCAGTGCTTACGCAGTTAGTAAAGCTCGTGTGCACAACAACTGCAGCTTTCCTATTTTCTTATCACCCGTCCAAGTAGAAGCCAATCTTCCCATTACAACTCTGCAACCTGGGAAAACATACCAAGAAAATTATCGCCTGAAGATGGCCATGGCCGGCCGGCCTCCGACGGGCGTATCTATCAAGGTTTCGTCTGATCCTAGAATGGGCGATCGAAAGGACGGGAATGACCTCAGTGGCATTCCGTTGACGCAGCTGGAATATACATACGACCCTGCTATGTGGCCGGATTTGTTCTATGATATTTCGGATATCAACGACCACGAACCTCGGCAATTTTGTCATTCCGGGCTTAGACTTATTCCTGACAGAAAGACCTGTCCGACAATTACGTGTCCTCCCGGGTGTGGCTCATTCTGTAGTCAGGCATATAATAAGCCAGGCGATCTGGGAACGAAGGCTTGCAGCAGTGACACAGGAATAACGTTGCTACTGTGTAGTGGCCCGGGTTGATCGTGGAACTCTCTATGGACAAGCCGGACAGAGCAGGCACAGGACAGCAGAGAAGTGAACAGCCTACTGGGATTCAGGCAGCCTCGGCATGGATGAGACTAGCGTCGTTTTCTTGCAGACCACAATTCGGTTAACGCTCTTTCGGCATAATTGAACTTGGCTGCGTATCGTGCTTGCTAGGAGTACTGTATGGAGAAGCTTTTACAACTAGTGGTGCTTGGCACAGGCCGCTGAAAGACGCGGATCGTTAATGTATGTAAAATCTGCTCACTTGGTCTTTTACTAGCCGATAGGCCTTCACCCACACGCAGGTAGCGTGCTGTATCACATTTAGCGGCTGCAGACCGACATTCGGCGTGTCTGTCCAGGAGTGGGGCGGATTGCTCCCCTTGCACGTGACAGTGTCATCCTCCACGGACACGTAAGACACGAAGGCTGGTTTTCTTTGGAGTTAGAAACCCTCTCCTCTTCATTTTTTTGGTTGACAAAGATGAAGCCATCGCACCAGCACCGCCGGCGAAGTTGTTCTTATCCCACTTACGCGACATAGAGGCACCATTCACCGAAAGGGAAACAGTCTTTGCTCGGAAATACCAAGTCTACAACTCTCACGCGAATGCATGTGAGTACCTCGATACGAGGTTAGCCAGCGACGAAAGGACCAACGACCAAAACACGACAGTGTGTTTGCGTTCCTGGGACATGCTGATAGCATTGTGCTGACTCGAGCAGAGTTCAAACGGAGTGCACGATATGGGATTGAAACGAAAGGTTTCTTTTGTCGACCCCCCTACTCCAGGAGAGTCGGCCACAGCAGCATGCAGAGGTAGTTCGTGCTGCACGCACCCTGCTTGCTTTCCCTTGAAGGAACATGCTCTTTGCCAGAGATGGTTCTTCCTACGCTGGGTCCCTGTGACAGCGCTCATGGGCTCAGAGGTGCTGCAGGAATTACGACAGCGGATGGGGAAACGCAAATTCCGTTATTGTGGTGCTGTGACACCCATGGGAGTCTACGAGGTGCTGGTGAGCGTAGAACCCAGTGAGTTCCCGCTGTGGGCCGGTAACTTGGTTCCCGACACACTCTCCACGCTTTTTGACGCCGGCAATTGTGCGGCGTGGCAGTTGCAATGCTGCTGGGATGCACTCGAAGTGGACGTCGAGATTTGGCAGAAGTCATTGCGTGACGGAGATGGCCAGATCAACTTTGGTGATCTGGGCTTGGTCCATGATTTAGCCGCCGATGTAAGAGCAGCCGGTTTACCAGATGGAGAGATATGAGAGACGAAAGGATGAACGACAACAATTCCTGTCGCTGGTGCTCCATTTTTCCACTGGATGATCTCGATCCTCTCCCTT